CCCTGTCTGAAAGGAAGTAACGCTAGAGTAGACTCGCGAAAAGTGTATAAGACACTTTTAAGATCAACTAAATAGCTAAGCCCAAGGGAAGTCGTTCGGGGAGGCCCTCCCTAATTCCACAAGGGTGAGAAGAAACAAACACGATAACGAAACGTTGAATCATGTAGAATTCGTAGGGTAAATGCAAAGCAAATTAGGAAGAATATGCAGTAAGCTAAGCGAAGAGGTAAGCAAGGTTAGACTATACTACAACTACTAAACCTGATATTTCTACTACTACACTACTACTACATACAAAAAAAATAAAAACATCTACAATGAACAATTACTTCAAATAAAATGAACAAAAATAAGCATGCAAAATAAAAACTAATTCAAATAAAATAAACTAGAAAAAAAAAACATGCATAATACCAAAAATAATTTGAATAAAATGAACTTGATTAATTCTAATACATCGAGCATGCAAGATAGAGAACTATTTTAACTATGGGGTCATCTTTGTCTTCGCCAACGTCGATCTGAAACAGATACGGTGGTAATAGATTAATAAAGAGCAATTAAAATTAATTATATCAAGTATTCTCACCTTAATTAATTATAGACTGTAATGTTCCAAAGTTTGCAGGTGTGAAAAGCAAACCAAATCCAGGAGGAATGCCATAGAAGAAAACTTGTGCTTTTAGTGGAATTCAAGTAAATCTCCTCTTGTTATTGCTTATCTGTTGAAAATTAACTGCATAATGTTGCAAGGTGAAGACGAAAACAGCAAATCCAGAATACACTCCAGGAAAGACAACATCAGTTATTGGTTGCTTTAATACAATCATCCTGAACTTCAATTTTCTCTCATATGTTGGATGATCTGCAGAAATAAGCGAAAAAATATTGATTAAAGAAGGGATTAAGTTAAGTAAAACATGAAANATTAGATAGACAAACTACTTACAGATGTAATATTGTAGCAGTCAGACTTATATTTCAAAAAATGATAATGAGCTAGTCCAAAAATTCATGGGGCACAAATGTTAACAACGATAATTATCGTTAATAATAAACTAATAACGCCTAGTGAACATATAATTAATATTCAGTTGTTTCAACAGGTTTCCATTAAATCCTAATTTCGTGAACATGGAGAGGGTAAATAAAAAGGACTCGAAACATGCGGAAGCAGAGCCCCACTCACGCTACTCTCTCTCTTGTGCTTGAAAAGGAGCCATTTGTAGAAAGGGTAAGAAATCTTTAATTATTTTATGAAGTTGTATTTTCGAAATGGTTAGTGATTTTTTAGTTCTTATATTCCGTTTATTTGACAATAATTATTCCTGTAACTTTTTACTCTTCTAAATTGTAATAGTTAATTATTTAGTGTGATACTTTTTTTATTGCTTTATTTGATTGCTGGAAGTTGTTATGGTTCTTAATATGTTAAACGTAATATTTGAGATGAAAGTAACATTAAATTGTTTCAACAGGTTATTATTTAAACACATGAAATGAGAAGTGGAGCCCTGTTAATTCTCCTTCCCCTTGGACCTGAACGGTACAATTTTTAGAAAATACGTGCAGTCCAATTGATACCAATGTATATAAGGTTCCACATGTGATGTCTCCTGCTATGTGGCTCATTTCACCAGTGGTTTTATTTTTCCTTTCTTAAGCATCTACTGTTAGAGGTACTTCTCTATTGTCATCGCTTATTAATAAAACTCTAGGACCATAGAGTAATCATTGAGGTAAGCAATTGCATTTTAACTCATAGTAATTTGCCATGTCTAGCGTCTATGGTTTCTCTTCTTACAGTTATCTACTGTCCAGAGCATTATGGTTATTTCTATTGCTTTTGACATTTAGCTGTCATAAATATAATTGACACCCACATCGCCATTTTATAATATAGTTATTTTACTTAACTTTTGGTGCATGTTTTTATTGTATTTCATGTTTTACTTAACTTAATCCCTTCTTTAATCAATATTTTTTCGCTTATTTCTGCAGATCGTCCAACATATGAGAGAAAATTGAAGTTCAGGATGATTGTATTAAAGCAACCAATAACTGATGTTGTCTTTCCTGGAGTGTATTCTGGATTTGCTGTTTTCGTCTTCACCTTGCAACATTATGCAGTTAATTTTCAACAGATAAGCAATAACAAGAGGAGATTTACTTGAATTCCACTAAAAGCACAAGTTTTCTTCTATGGCATTCCTCCTGGATTTGGTTTGCTTTTCACACCTGCAAACTTTGGAACATTACAGTCTATAATTAATTAAGGTGAGAATACTTGATATAATTAATTTTAATTGCTCTTTATTAATCTATTACCACCGTATCTGTTTCAGATCGAAGAATTTTAAAGGCACAATAATATCTTTAAGAAATACTTTACATTTCATTACAAAACGAAAGCAATCCTCACGACGTGGTCATATCAATATGAAAAATCTACAAACATCGCCTGAAACTGTTTCCAAATTGAAAAATTATAACAAAAGCCTAATTATTCCACCTCAGCTAAACCGAAAATGTAAAAAATTCACAGTAGATGGTGGTGGACAGGTAAGATGTCATGATGAACTGCAATGTTGAAGCACGAAATCGTTTACGACAAAACCTAAGCAACGGTTATCGACACCCCTCAATCACTAAATAGAAACGTATTCCACACAATTAAATGAAAATAGGATAAGGATTAGACTAAATACCTACAGGCGTTGTCTTCGTTTATGGACGTTCAAAACAGGCGACTTGTCGTCTTCTCGAATATCGAACACAGAATGACAAAATGACATCGCCGGAAGACCCACAGATGAAAATTCCTTCTTCTATACTTATGATACATAGATAATAGGTTTTATAGGTGCGTTCAATTATGGTTATTCGGCTTAATTTGTAAACTGAAACCGACAGCCTTTAAATAGTTTCCACAATGCATACAGCGATCCACTTCTCATTTCATGTGATTCAATAATAACCTGTTGAAACAATTTAATGTTACATTCATCTCAAATATTATGTGCAACATATTAAGAACCATAACAATGTAATGTACAGTACACAACATAAAAATGCCTAGATTATACAATTACCCAAAACAAAGTGAAAAACATTCATCTGCACCAACAGTGTTTAGTGTTATGAAATCATAATTATTTTCTCAGACTTCTTATGTATTAAATGAATTTAAATAGATTATTAATACCTAAAAATTTAGTTGCTTACAAATTTGGACTCACATTGTAACATTTCTATCCTTATGTAGACTACAGCGCACTCGTTTAATTTCCTGGGAAGGTACGATAATAGTTTGAATTTAAAATACACAATTTTAATAAAATGTTGGCCTTTCTTATAGGCAACCCACCTTACTCCAAAGGATTCTTATTATCGGCGCCGCAAAAAAATTCGTTTGTTTTGAGAAAAACGAGTTAAAATATTTACTACCAAGTTTCAATCCCGATTACTTACAAATTTCGACTCATATTGTAACATTTTTATCTTTATGTAGACTATAGTCTGCTATAGTGCACTCATTTAAAAATTGTCGGTCTTTCTTATAGGCAACCCACTTTACTCTAAAGGATTCTTATTATCGGCGCAGCAGAAAAAGTTCGTCTGTTTTGAGAAAGACGAGTTAAAATATTCACTAGCAAGTTTCAGTCACAGTCACGGCTACTTATTACATTTTGGCACTTTCAGCTAATTTAATTAAAGGGAGAAATTAATCTAACATGAATCAAAAACGACGTTTTCAAATTGGGAATTAAAAGTGCCCCTTTGCTATTTCCTACTATAAAATTCATTATAGGTACTGATGCCTCACATATTTTATTTATTTTGTTACTTTCAACTCGTTTATTTAATAAAAGAGAAATTAATTTATCAAAAAAGTTAAAGAGTTAAAAGTGCATCCCTTTAATTTCCAATTATAAAATTCATTTCATTGGTACATCANTTATTAAATGTAAAATTCTACCTTTTTTTATAAGTCAAAGGGCAGTCCAAAATATTCTTATAGCAGTGGAATTATCCTTAATATGCAAGTGCTGAAACAAAAAAAAATGTTTACCTGTTTAAAATAAATGAGAACAACAACGACGGCATGAATAAAAACGACGTCTTTAAATTTTAAATTGGGGGTTGAAAGTGCATCCCCGTAATTTTCAACAATAAAATTCTTTTCATTGTTGACAACAACTTTAATATACTTTGGTACTTTAAGCTCGTTTGGTATGGGAAAAATTAATTTAACATGAAGCAAAAGGGATATTTTTAAATTGGGTTTCGAAAGTTCAACAAACGATTTTCTACTGATTGGATATAAAGAAAGAAATAAATAAATAAATCAACATCGATAAAATATAAAAAACAAATTTTCATTTGCAGACTTCATGCCCGTTTGCACCGACGAGTTTAGTCCGCCACTGCAATTACTTTTATTTAAAATAAACTAAAAATGACGCCCTTATTTAATACAACTAACATTTAAAAAAACGGACATGTGTCGTACACTTTAATTGTGAGCATCAGTCTTGCGTTGATAAGCAAGAGATTTTATTTAGATATCACGGTTTTCTTTATTATTCATGGCCATTACTGACATATTAGACCGAAGAATTACAATTTCCTAAAGTTTGTTTTATTTTTTGGAATTTCCTGTATTACTGAACATGTAAGTTGGGAAATAAAAGAAATTTAATGTATGTTCCTTGTGTTAAATTGAACTTATAACTTTAAGGCTTTAAATATACACAATTTCAAAAAAATTCGTCAACTGAACACTCTCATGATTTGCTACATGAGTTTCGTTCTTGTGTTGAATACAGAGAAAATCCTATTTCGGCATTTTTACGTGATGTTACGTGATTAAGCATATATTAAATAATGACGAATGCGGAAAAAACAGAAATGACAATACTTCGAAAAGCAATTAAAAATACTTTATACGTATCTGTTAATTGAGTTTCCCGTTGTTGCTGGAATACTCGTAAAACTAAGTGCAGAGTTAATTAAGTCGCGTTACTTAGCGGATTGCTTCAGAATCTTGGCAAATCTCCCGAGTACAATTAAAGTTTACGACTGTTAATCAAGACGGTACTCAGCTAATTGCCAGAGACGTAGATTCCCGATCACGATCTGATATACAGTACTTACGGCACGAAATGGAACATTTTTCTTCTAATATTATTTTTTTTACCTACCTAAAATTACATGACATCCTTACGAGTGTTAAAACCAATATTAAAAATCAACGATATCAACTAAAAAAAAAAAAATCAGTTGTCTGTAAAGTCGGTTTACTGACGATAGTTGAACGTGACAACGTCATAAGAAAATACTGATGAAATGGTTTCATATTTCAAAAGAAAATTTTAATTTTATTTGTTTGATAGATATTTTGTATGGATATAGAGGAGGTAAATGGAAATGTATTATTGTATAGCAGCTGTCCACGCGGACGCATCGCTCACTCAAGTAGGAGAGAGACAGATGTCGAACGCTGCCGAACGCGGAGGCCGATTGTGCCTTTTTGTCGCTCGTTCCGCGCTCTCTCTTGCACTTCAAGCCTTAAATGGAACGCCTCAGAGCGAGGTAACGCCGCATGAGTCATGTTTTTTCGTGCGTGCAGCCGGCTCCATCGAATTATAAGACGTTGTCACGTCAATATGAAGTAACTGTTGTATTGCTGATATTAGGGTATACCAATACAACCAAAATAAAATCAATTATAAAAATTTTTCGTTGGAGGTTGGAAGAACTATTAGGGGAAGATCAATTTGGGTTTAGAAGAAATAGAGGAAAGCGGGAGGCAATTCTAGCTTTACAGGTAACAATAGAGAAAACGATAGAAAAAAGAAAGAGTGGTTAGTCACTTAACACTGATCGGACACGCACCTCCATTCTTTCCTATCCTAAGTTAATCTTAGCATTTTCCTAACAGTAGAACATCCCACATCCTTAGCCATTTATTAATAGTAATATACCTCATTTCCTTTTAATTTCTGTTTCTGCTTCCAATATATTTTTAACTAGCCCCTCGTGCCTAAAGGTATCCTACTAGCCCATCTCGCCTATTTCTTATTGACTTTCATTGTTCCCCCTGTTCTAGTATCTCCTCATTTTTAATCCTTTTTATCCACAATATCCTCATTTTCGAATTTCTAAGTTAACCGTTCACAGAAGTGACTTCTTTTTTGTTAAAAGCGACTCTACCTTACGCTAAATCGTCTATTTTATATCTCTACTATCCTTAATTATCTGATCGAATATCAGCGACCATTACACAGTAAATATATTTTGTAGAACTATGGTGAATCTTACGGGCCACAAAAATGTTGAAGGCACATCAATAATTCCCATTAAGGAAACATAACAATTCCAAGGACGATGTAGAATTAGATGTGGGATATTCGTTTAAGAATTCAGACTTCTACAGTTGAAGAGGGTGAGGATTTTTGGAAATGAACTAAAGAAATATTTAATTAAATTAATTAATTCTTCATTTTTCTGGAAGGTTCTCGAACTTGTTTTGTTATACGCGGACATGCACAAATGTGATAATCCCGTTTACGCGGTGATATTCCCGTTTACGCGGTCTACCTTAATGGACGTAATTGCTAAAAAGTTATTTACAGCGCTAGAGGCGTACCATTGGGCTTTGATCGGAAAATGAAACTAGAAATGCACAACTAACTTTAATAGATGGAAGATAGACAAGAGTACGTTGAGGTACATAACCAACGCGTTGAGGTTACGATATTATTCACTGAAACAATTCTTTCCGCAATTCTTATTTCACACGACAAATTAATTGCAGATAAGCCACTTACAATATTCGTTTGTGCGCATCGGTCACGGTGTATTTTTCTTTAAGTGAACGGACAATATCACCTTCAGTAAAATGGTTATCGAATATTGTGCAGTGCTTACACACTTTAATAAAAAGAAACGATAAAACGAATAAAAGAACATCTCAAAACATATCGCCTTGTCCCGTCACGCCCTTTTTTCGACACCCTTATCTCGTCTCGTTTCACCTCGAAAATCTAGATAAAATTCAGTTTTGACTAGGCAAAACATAAGCGAGATCTGACGTACAATTTGTCTCGTCTCGGGGCAATATTGTCCATTCACTTAGAGAAAGATACAACGAGGCCAGGTCACCGGAATATGTCGGTCGTTTATCGTTAGATATTTCCGATCAAACTCCAACTGCATGCCTGTGGCGCCATAAACAACTTCTAACAGTTACGCCATTAAGGCAGTGCGCGCATCGTGTGCCTTT